CAGCCACTGCTTCCTGAGCCACGCTTGGCGGCTGTAGCAGTGAGCGGATGGAGCGATCTGTCTGGTGCGTCCCCATTCCCTCGATGGGGAGAGAGGGCACTTGCTAGAGTCGCGATGCGGAGCTTTCCACCTGTTGAATGGCGGTGGCTTCTACCAGCGCCTAGAGGTTCCAGTAGACCGCACGCTCCTGGGGGTCGATGGGCAAGGGAACGCCATGTAGAAGCATTGCCGCAGCGGCGTTGTTCTGGCTAGCCCAAGCGAACTATGGGGGTCGTTCCCCTCATTTATGATATCACGCTGGACCTGGCGGGCGTGACCCCGAGCGCGGCCAGCCAGGTCATGCGCATGGGGCGCAGCATGATGTACCGAGCGTGCCAGCGCGGGCGACGACTGGTTCTGCCGCCTTTGTCATAGCTCCTTGCCGTGCTCCTGCGCCCATGCAAGGGGCCCCACACGAGGGTCTGGAGGGGTGTGAGTTTGCAAGGACTCTGCTACCATCGGCAGCTATCCCAGAGCATCCACCATGGCGCACTCCCGGGATGGACGATGGCCAGGCACCACGTCGTCGATGCTAGAGCCGTCGCTCTCAACCTCATCATCCAGGAGTTCGTAGAAATAGGTGGGAGCGTAGCTCGCCATCCCCATGAATTCGGATGTGAGAGGAGGCGGTGTCAGCATTTTTCGGAGCCCCGGGCGTACGCGTTCGCAGGGGACGCGAGGCCGTAGGGGAATTGGTCATGCGGTGGTTGCAGTACGGACGACGCGATCCCTCTGGATAATTGACAGAAGATAGTAAATAGTGAGTAAATAACAGCATGTACGTTACTCACAGCGGGGTTTGAGCAGAGAGTTTGCTCAGAATGAAGCGCAGAATCCTCGTCGTTGAAGTCGCCGTGCGTTCCAGAGCCGATGGAGGGCGCCCCTCCGACGGGCGCCAGAACGAGTGCCTCCTCGTGGAGGTGGAGTACGCCGAGCCGGTCATCGACGAAGTCTAGGCTTCCAAAGAGGAAGGCCTGGGATGGCTCGAAGATGGGTGGAACCCACATCCCAACAGGTAGGAGTACGGGAAACACCAGTGAGCCGAAGCGAGTTGAATCGCTTGAGCCCGCCAGGGCGAAGGTGGCGGAAAAATGGGCCATCCGATGACCCAAAAGTGTTGAATGTACAGTGTCTTCCCCATGGACGGCGCCAACTGTCGTTGCAGAAAGTGACCAACAAGTAAATATTTGTAGTTTTGCCATACGTTGTGATAGGAGGTGGCCTAGCACTCAATGACACAGGGTTTATACTGGTTCAGGCAACGTGCCCTACGTCCAGTTTGAGTCGGTCGGTGACTTTACTCCTAAGCCCAGGTGCTCGAAGTTTGCTGTGGGGTTACAAACGAGAAGAAGAAAGATGGGGGTACAAGAGGTCCGATCGGACTTTGGTCAGAGGGACCGAAAGCGACGGGAGCCCCGCTATGAGCTAAGTGTTTGAGTGTGTGCTCGTGGTTTGAACCTAGTGGTTCTGCTGTTGTGTGCTAGTGGACTTGATCGATCTAATGGATCTGAATCAACTTGAATGAATGAACCTATCTGTTGGGAGAGAGCGCATCCCCTTTTATAGATGAATGGAATTGCCTTACAAGTGAGAGGGAGAGAGTACATATGCTTCTAGGCCTTGTTGCCCACGCCGGCGGGTATAGGATGATGGTAGGCGCCCACAACACTGTTGGATGTCAGACGCACGTGGGAGGTTGTGTTGTTTTCTTCAGGTATGGCAGACGTCGGCCCTGCCACACTATTGATGCCTGGAGGTATGCAAGGGGTTTTACCATGTTCTCTTGGTACGGTGAACGCTGGCGCCCACAACACTGTCGATGCCCAAAGGCATGTGGGGGAGCCTTACCGTATGGGAGTTAATGGCGCCCACAATATTGTAGGGGAAAATATCAGCACCTATAATACTGTTTGGGCTCTGTCATGCCAGGGAGATTTGCAGAGTACTGTTTCTGCAGGTGTACAGGGTATGGTCCCCGGTATTACAGTTTGACTTGTGCGCCCTGCCTTACTTTCTCCGTCCGTTTCCTTGTCTTTACCGAGCGGGCGTCCCCGGTCGGTTGGTTCCAGTCGGCCCTGATAGCGCTAGTCGGAGAGGAGTAGTGAGCAGGGGTTTGGCGCACCCCTGGTCGGAGACGCGGGTCGGAGTCAGAAGCAGTGTTTGGCCAGGCCTTCTGGTCGAAGAGGCCATTCGGAGGCAGGCTAGAGACCGACGTGAGCGCTCCGGTAGGAGAGGCGGGCTGGAGTCGGAAGCGGGTGTCGTTCCTCCTCAGCCAGGCCTCCTGGTCGAAGATTGGATCGCCCCTCTAGCCTGTCGTTCAGGTAGTTGGGCTAGCCCATGAGTTGCATGTTTGTATGCAACGTTGCCTGCTGGGCCAAGCCTTTGTTGGGAAGCCGGTCCGCGAGGGACCCCGGGTTTATGAACCCGACAGGTAGTGATCATCATTAGCATTAGTAGCAACATGTGTAGCTTAAACATTTATGGCCTTAGTCATGTGAATGATGGGCACAAAGCATTGATTTGCTTTCGATGCCTTTCTCTTGTTTGGAACCAAATGGATAACTTAGTTGTCAACAAGGAGAAGACACAGAAAGCAAACATATGAGCTGCATCCTAATACATCCAATAGACATGTAGACATCATTGGCACAGAAATGTGGCCCCAGATATGTTACAAGTTCAAAATACCATAAGGACTCACTGGTGCCACTGAAGCATATGAAACAAAAATATAGAATCAAGCAAGCACTGGACAAAAAAAATAGTTTAAGGCAGAAGCGAATGACCTGTTTGTTTGCCTAGACAGATAGGTATACTCAAGCAAGCACTTGACAATTAACAGGCCTAGTTGCACACAAGCATTTATAGTAAGAACACTGAACATATGCTGAAAACTAAGACACCTACAGAAACCAACTAGTGCCACCTCCTAATTCTTTTCATCATCATTGGCCTAACCAGATCTGCAACGCTATAATGTTTCTTGTATACCTCATGTTCAAGCAAGTACCAAAACAGTGAAGCGAATAGGAAAAGGCGAGAAAAGGAGACCTGCGGATCTGATCTGTAGCCTCTACCGTGGCACACGACAGACATGGACGCCAATGCCGCCACGCTCCACCGAGAAGACCTGCCGCCTAGCCTCCAAAAGGACGCCCGAGCCACCACAGCACACCAGGGATCCTCCGCTACTACCGCCACCGCAAGTCCAACGGACACAAATTTGTTTCCACTTGTAGGGGATATATATCCAATATATAGGTCAACCTATCCACACAAAGAACATATACTATTATAAGGACTCCAAAGACATATCAACACAACCAGGCGTCTAGTGCAATAGTGAAGACGGTCTATTCCTTGCTCTGTGTCCCGGGTTCGACTCCCAGGTCTCATGGTTTTTTTTTGAGTTTGGATTTATTATTTAACCCCGACGGCAACAAGTGACCCGTAAGCTGTCGGGTCCCACAGGTCAGATGGAGAAGGGTCCACAAGTGACACGCAAGCCATCGGGGCCCACAGGTCGGATGGAGAAGGGTCCACAAGTGACACGTAAGCCGTCGAGTCCCGCAGGTCGGATGGAGATGGAGAAATGTCCCACAAGTACATGTCGTCGGGTCCCACAGGTTGTATGGATATGGAGAAAGGCCCCACAAGTTCACGTGACACGCATGCCATCGGGTCCCATTGGTACACGTGACACGTAAGCCGTCGGATCCCACAGGTCGGATAGAGTAGGGTCCCACAGGTACACGTCGGATGGAGAAATGACTGAGTGGAGACTTTTATGACGAATTGCCAATGTCATGGATGAGTAACTACAGGTCCTACATATACACGTCGGATGGAGAAAGGGCCATGTGGAGATTTATGACGAAGTGCCATTCGTTACAGATCGAATATTGTTCGTCACAGATATGTAATTAGTTCAATAACGAAGCCCTGATCGTCACAGTTCTAAATAAGATCGTCACATATGAGCAGGAACAGTCGCGCGAGTGATCTATGATGAAACCCTGCGCTGTTCTATGACGTTTTTTGTGACGATATCCGATTTCGTCATAGATAAGGGGGTTCGAGGATCGTCACCGATGATCTGTGACGAGACTGAAATATTTGTCATAAAAAACGATTTTTTATGACATTTTCGGATTCGTCATTAAGATTTTCGTCATAGAAGTAAATATTTCTAGTAGTGCAAAGGGGTTGAAAATGTGTATTTTTGTCTCTCTCAGGTAGTGTCCAGATGCTTCTCCCTTCTATTGCAAGCGAAGATAAAAATACTAGATGCATACAAGGTTGATCCACTTCCTTGAGCTGCACCTATGACATGTGGTCCTGCTCTCTGGGAGCAATTACTCGCCTCACTATCCGCTTATGAGAAGGATTTCCCAACAATAGCAGTACTAACAAAAAAAAGGAAAAGTATGCATGATCTTAGCATGTAGAATTTGTTAATAACCAAGTACCAATGTAACACGACTGCCTTATCAAGGAACGCCACGATATAATATATTGATTGATTGAAACTGACCCACCGCACCAGCAGCAGCTCCACTGTAAGCTAACTGTTGTGCAGTGCAGTTCTACTGACACTTGATCCAAGACCATACATGACAACACACAACAGTACTTTAGTTACATGTAGGAGCGAGCATGACTCCGCCTAGAATTACAGCCCATCTAGAGTCAAGACACACGCTTATTCTTCTACATGCTTAGGAATGCATACATGTATGTTATAGGAGTTCCTTGTTTATTCTTTCCTGGTTAATTAGGTAGCAGATTCTAGATGTGAAGAAACCAATGGTGAAAGGAAGGAGGGGGTGTTGGTGACCATATCCGATCACACAAACGAAGGAAGAATCGTCAACCGTCTAATTGTCAAGTGTTTGGAGTCCAAAGCAACCATGCCGGAGGCGGAGGTGGAGTCGGAGCTGAAGCCAGAGCAGCAGGGGGGGTCATCTATCTCCAGCTCCGTCCCGTCTGCCCTGTTCTTGCATAGCTTGCTTCACGAACTGCCCACGAACCCGCGGCCGCTGGTCAGCCAGCCTCTTCCTGCTCTGGTACCGCACCTGAAAATGGCAGACAGCCATCAGAAAGAAACCAGTCCTATCCAATATAATGCTTTCTTAAACACATCATATAAAAACCAAGAAAAATAAATATATGCACTCCTTTTTTTCATAGTTTATTACTTTTTATGATGCGCTATTTTGCTGGTTCAGGTGATTTGGACATGAAAAAGGTTTTAAATCACAGCCTGAACCACAAACATGCAATTGAAAACAGGCTACCTTTTTCCCAAAGTTCCGATCTTTCTTTTTCTCTCTATATTTCTTTAGTTGTGCTTGTCGTGGTGTCATGCCAGCAGCAAGCCGTTTGACATATGTGTCATTGCCACTCCCACTGCCACTCCCATTGCCACCTCCTGCATGTCCACTTTTGTGGATGGCCCCATTAGCAGTCTCCGTGTTTGTCCGTCCAGCATTTGCATTTGCATTTGCAGCAGCCGTGCTTCCACCAGCAGTAGTACTTCCATTCTGCCCCTTGGTTCCATTGTTACTGCTTGAGTTGCTCCCGTTCACACCATAGTTGGTAGCTTGACCTTCAAGTGGAGGATCAAATACGTTGGAGGAACCACATTGCAGGGCTCCCGACCCACCATTGTCCCGTGCACCGTCAAAATGGACGTAATGAAGGGTTGGACGAGGGTACTGTTGCATCAGGTTACTCTGCATGTCACCTGCAGGGTGACCTGCATTGTTGGCCACTTCATCAGCCTTCGCTTTCCCTCCTACTGCATTAGCTGGAACCATCATCGTCCAGTGCTGCACAGGATGAAATGCTGATGTGTGTCCATTAGCCTTATTAATAGCTGATGAGGGCAACATCACCCTGTCCTTAATTGTAGTGGGCTTTGTCACAACATTCTTTGTAGTGGAACCCATGTCATTGTTATTGCTACTGCCGTTGGAGCCTTGTTTTATTGGAGCAGCATCTGAATTTGACTTCATGTTGTAAGTAGAATCTGTTTTCATAGCCTCTGAGCTGTTATCATGTGGCGAACAGCTCCCTACCAATCCTGTCCCACCTTGATTGGAAGCCGCAGATGTATGGTACCTTGCAAAAAAAGTAACAGTTAGTACGCAACGTACTGTTGCTTTCATAACTCACTAATGACACTGATATTATGTTTTGCACCTTGTAAAAGCTGAGAGATTTGATCGTCTTAATACATTCCGTTGTTCAACATCTTGGACTGTATTGGCACCATCTCCACATGATCTCGACCTCTTCAAACTTAACTCAAGCGATGGCAAAACATTATCATGGTTGTTCTTATCTTTCCCTTCTGGCACTTTGGAAGAGAGATTAGGGGTAGTATCTGCAGCTCTTGCTGCCTGCTGGGTATCCATGTTTTTGGCCATTGAACTAATTAGATCAGCAGCTCGAACAGTTGGCTCCTCTAAATTTTCCATCATTGACTCCTTCGAATTGTTTTCTGGTGGGCACTCACAATGTCCATCTGTTGCTTTGATAGGCCTCTCATTTGGGAAAGATTGGTGATCCATATATAAATTTCCAGGGCCACCTATCTCCAAGTCCTTTCCCTTAAAGTCGTCTGGAATCAACCACCAAACTTAATAAATAAAAAAATCCAAGTAGTTTATTTCCATAGTGAATCAGTTGAGCGTACCATACCATTAGTGCCTTTTTGCTTCTTGCAGTTTCTGCTGCTCGTACCTGGTAGCCATCTGTTGCTACATATCTCTGACTTTGGGTGGATTACTTGAGCACAAGTGCTATCAGGTGGATCGGCTAACTGATCCAGAGACATAGCCTGTGGACTGTCGATCTCCACAGCACGCTTAGTCCATGAGCTCTGCGCCTTATAACAGATTAACGAGGAAACAAGTTAAAATGTGCCCGTGCTTTAATTTTGATATATCTACTCCACTGAGTTCTGCTGTTGTCAAACAATTCAGTTAGTAACATTGTGTATGTTGCCACTTTACAATTGGGATCTTTCAGTGCTACATGGTCTTAGACCCCACCTTCAGTGAGATAGCTTAGCACAGAAAGCCAGAAACAGAATAGAGGTATGGCATAGTGAAAAATAAACGATACATGGCTCGGTAACAAAATGAAAGAAAAACAAAATTTGGTTCATCACCAATCACCAATTATAGAAAGAGTAGAATCCACCCCGTTCATAACCCTTTAATGAAAATAATATGATTTAAATCATGAATTCATAAGTTCTGTCGAACGGCAGTCCATGCATGTTTTAACGCTTCAGGTTCAATATGTACTTCCTAAGATTGGAGTTATACACTTTGTTAATACTTATCCAAACATTTCAAATAAAAGGTATGGGGTCAATATTGCGTTTACACGGGTAGCCATCACCAACAAATAATCAACAATACTTTCTGGACCTAGTTATCATGCAGACATGTCCATACTGACCTAGCACTCCCGACAGTCTGACATCTCAAATGCCTCACTATTTTCACCTCATAAAAATTGTACTTAGCATTCTCTGAACACCACCCAACCTCACTAGATAACTAAATCCTGTCAACATGAAAACATTATCATTTATCCTAATACATAGATGTGCTTGCAAGGTTTGACAAGCAACCATATAGCTTTATGTTTCCAAGACTACAAATTTGAAATTATGCACTTCTTTTGCCTCATAAGTAATCCACGCACCACAATGATCTGTCATCTTTCACACGTTTTACCAAGCTTTGTCTTCTATGTAATTTTCTCATGCTTATGTGGTAATGGTATACAATTATTAAAGGTTCGTCCACCTGATTATTATTTGTAAGGAAAAAAACCTCTTATTGGCTTGTCATTTCAGGTCATGTCTAGTGGTGTGATGGTAGGGTATAATATGCAGAACAAATATCTGTTGTTGCCCTTAGTTCATTTTATAAATACAGTAATGATTCCCTATGCTATTTTATCAGTAATAACTGAGTGGTACATAGGAGAAACTACGTTTATATCAAAATGCAACACATGTTCAAAAGAAATTTACAAAAGGAGCAAAAGATTATTGAAAAAGACAAGTTGAAAAACATTTTTTCCATTGTGTTTAAAAGCTACTGTATATATCACTCCCAATACAAAATGTTCTCATGTGGGACAGACCAATGCAGATTTGGGACACAAATGACATTGAGAATAACAATGGCAAACATGAAAATTTCAAACTTGGTTCTTGTGTATACGAGCTTCTGATGTCAAAACTCATCGACTGTGCATATGAAAAATCCATTTGTTTCTGAACCAAACAATTCATCTCAAGCTTTTCTACAACCAAATATTTCTAAATGGATTCTGAACCAAGAACTGGTTACATTGAACCCTCGCTACTATTTAATAAAGAAGTGAGAATGCAACTAGACTAACATATACATGTATAAAATACAAGGGGTGCTATTGGATATGCAGCTCTCCTATGTGTTCGAGAAAAAAGTAAGATATTACGATCAGCACTTTTCTTTTGGCCTAAAAATAGAACAGAGGCAAGATGAACTTAAGTGTGTTAGGTGCAATAAAACCAAATCACACAGGCATTCTCTAGTTCATGTGCAAACTTTTAGAATTGAATGCAGATCCAGAGTAATGTACTCATTTATTTCAACCAGGAATACGATTCTTCTAGCATATATAGAAATAGTTATCCATATGAAATCAACATTTAGTAGTGACAGGAATACACAGTCTAATTCTGTGGTTATAAATGGCAATTAAATTTAGCTACTATGCGAATTGACCTGTAATATATTCCATTTGGTGATTATAGACGGTTGCACCAAAAAAGTTTCTTGTATTCTAAGTGTTACTATATTCATAACTTGAACAACATGATAACAGCTAGTAATAAGCTTTAGAGAAGTAAAAAAGCATCAAAACCCATACTTGAGTGCCACTGCCATTATCACTGTCATCCCTTGCATTAAGTCCCATGCCTGCTTCATCGTCATCATGATCGTCATTGCTACCACTGTTATTACCAGATTTGTTTCCACCTTTTGATTTGTCACACTTTTGCGTCTGAATTCCACTTTCACTTCCACTACCACTGGACTGAGTTCCAAACAAGTAAACTCTTGTTAGAGCAATTACATAAATTTACCCAGAGAACCATAAATAAAGTCTAATAATTAGAATAAACCTTGAAATTGAAGCAACAATTATCACTTGATAAATTTTCAACAAAATATAATATGCAAACCAGACCGTCAACAACTTACGCTGTGACACCGTCTCCATACATGCTGCCAAAGGTTCTTAAGTTCATTCTTACGTATAGGCTTGACTAAAAAGTCAACAGCACCTTTTGACAAACATTTAAAGACTGTATTCATAGCATCATTCGAAGACATCACTGCACAGAAACCACATCAGTGTAGCAGCTAAAAGCATTGGAACTAAATAAATGATGAACGCAACATTTTGATCATGATAAGAAGCATGCTGTAGAGTTGAGGAAAGTTACTTACTAATCACTGGAATATTTTTGCAAATATTGTGGCTCATGATCCTACCCAGCAGAGAAATTCCAGATACACCGGGCATAAAAACCTCAGTCAAAACAATATCTATGTTGCTTTGCATATCTTCAAGATAAGTCCATGCTTGCTGGCCATTTTCGGCAGAGATAACTGAAAAAGTTGGCTAGCATAACTCAGTTTTTTAAAGAACAACAATTGGTCAAAGACAACTGAAAAACATTATATATGTAAGATTTTCGTTAAGAGCCTATTTAGATCTCAAGAATTAGATTGAATTAGAATCTTATTGTTTGAGCAACTTGTTTAGGTCTGTTTGGAATTAAAACTACAATTCCAATCAATTCTGGTGAAGCCCACGAGACCTAGTTAAAGTTCCTGGCCTCAAAAGTAGAATTGCTAATTCCTGTTTTTTAAGTGTTTACTTGTCTGCTGCAACTATCCAGCGATACATCAACTGTCCTACAACCATTACCACCACGGTGGAAGGACCGAAGGACCACTATCCAGCATGGTTGCTCAAATATTCTAGAAAAGCATTTCAATTCGTGGGATCCAAATGGGCCATAAGTGTAATTAGCTCCCAGCTCAAAACAACAAAGTCGAATAAAGGAATTCAGGGATCTAGCACCATTTCAACAGGTAATACACACCTTGGGAGATGATCCTACATATGAACAATGCTAGAAAGGGCCTTTCTAAAGAATACACGTGAAGGCTGAAGGGGTATCATGAAAGGGGTTATAGCATGGTTATTTCAAACAAGAATACAACATGAGATGGGCCAACTACAAAGTATCAATTGATGTTTTATTGCCCCCATGATGTAGGATGAACAAAGGTCTTGGAACTTACCATTCATGGTCCCAACCACTTCATCAACTATGTGGGTGTCACGTGATTGCATTCACCAAACCGTGGTGGCCAAACTTATGGTTGTAGAAACATTCCCCAATTATTGATAGCTCAAGGAAGTTGCTACCTTGTCTATGGCTCAATGGCAAGTTACTTGATCAGTTTCCTATTCTCAAAAGGGGCCTAGTGGGTGCAGCAACCTTAGTAGCACCTCAGGTCCTAGGCTCAACTCCCTGTGGGGATAAATTTAAACATGCCTAGGTTAAAAAACCTCCTCTGTTATACACATGGCTGCAGGCATGTGGCCTTGGGCACTTGGTAGCAGGTCCAGGGCAGCTAGCCTTTGGTGTCTTTCTTGGCCTGCCCACGAGAAGCATCTTCTCAGTGCAATACTATGGGGGCAGTCTTTCCCCTATAGGTCGAGTTTTTTCAGCAACTTATGGGCACAACTGCACTATTTTGAAGATTGGTGTGCAGACCATGGGCACTAGCAAATAGGGATAGGTTCTCTTTGGTCGTGCTGAGGTCCTGCCCATTGGATGAGGCGAAGAGAATAGCGCCAACAGCATAAAGTGAGCACTGTTGATAGATCACCACTTGACTTTGTGGGCTTAGGATGCCCATAGAGCTTGCTTTCCTGATGAACCCCTAGAACACATCCATAACTAGGAAGAAAAGCATCGTATAAAGTGAATCCCCCTGCCTGATTCCCAAAGCATGATAGATTGGTTTGTTTTAAGGATGGTTTTGGTCACAGCGGTGGAGAGATATTAGAGATGTATAGCCATGCTAACATTGCACGTATTGTATCTTGTACAACAAACCACATTGGCTATATATATATGAAAGTCACCCCCCTCCAAGGGTTTATAGTGTTTGCCTCATCTCTCTCTATATTTCTACTCAAGTTCTCTTCTGTTGCATATCCCACCTACTAACCCTAGAGCATGGATCTACGCTAAGCTATACGACCGATCGCGCTGCGGTTCCTACAGCCATAACCACCAACCTCCATGCCACAATTCCCTTGTGTGCATATGCCACCACTTTGTAGTGGATTTTTATATGCTATTCACCCCCCTCTAGCCATTTAGGACCTTTCACCTTCCCCCTATGGCCCTACCCATTCCTTCATCACAATAGGCAATGGAAATAGTATTGTTGTTTCTTCACGAGGTACTTTAATTTCATTCTTACCACACCACAATTAAATTTTGATTGGAACAATGTTTTTGTCATACCATCACTTATTCTTAACTATCACTTATTTGTAACTATCATTTGGCTAGTCAGTTCACCCGAGACTAGTTGTTCCATCGAATTTGGCACTCAGGTTTTCTGTTAAGGACTTCCAAACCAAGAGTGTAAAAGAGACGCCTTGCGAATTACAGATTTTCGCCCAATCAGTCTCATCCATAGCATAGCTAAGATCTTCGCGACTTCACCACACTACTCACAAATAGGCGGGTGCCGCTTCTTGACTCAGTGTCAAAATGCCAAAGTGCCTTCATTAAAACAAGGAGCATCCACAACAATTTTCTATACGTTCAGAGTGCGAACAATGCAAAAGATGAAGCTACCCTCGCTGTTCATGAAACTCGACATACACAAGGCCTTTGACATGGTCAGCTAGAGCTACCTCCTGGAGGTATTGCAGGCCTTAGGGTTTGGACCACGCTAGCGGGCGTGGGTGTCGATCCTTTTCCGCATGACATCATCGAGAGCGCTACTAAATGGACAGTAGGGCCCAGCTTTCAGCCACATGAGAGGCGTCCGACAGGGCGAACCTCTATTGCCCATGCTATTCATACTTTCTATGGACCCGCTGCAACGCCTGCTAGACATGGCGACACTGCAAGGCGTCCTTCTCCTATACCCTTAGCCACGACCAGATGGAGGACCTCTATTTATGCCGACGATGCGGCTATGTTCATTAACCCAATAAAGGACAACTTGGACTCCATCACGATGATCCTCTAGGAATTTGGTAGGGTCTCACGCTTACACATAAATCTGCAAAAGAGTTCAGACCACCCAATCAGATACGAGGACATCGAACTAGACCATGTGGTGGCCTCCTTTGCTGGGACAAGGGAATCCTTCCCATGCCGCTACTTGGGTCTGCAGCTCCACACGAGATCCCTGCAAAAGGTCCATGTACAACCTCTCATTGAATGCATTGGGAAAATGTTACCCGGCTAGAAGGGAAGAATGCTCAATAGAGTGGGTGGACTTACATTGGTCACCTCAGTTCTATCCTCCATGCCTATCTATCACCTCACCATATTCCCGCTGGCCGTATGGGCAAGAAAACAAATTGACAAGATCAGAAGATCCTTCCTTTGGAAAGGAGATGAGAACGCCAATGTAGGGCATTGTTTGGTAAATTGGCCGACAGTGTGCATGCCAAAAGAGTTGGGTGGCTTGGAGGTGCCAGATTTGGAAAATTTTGGAAGAGCCTTGCGCCTTCGATGGTTGTGGCAGGAGTGGGTTCATGTCTCAAAACCTTGGGTAGGGACGGCACTGCCATGCAATGACCTAGACCATCTACTCTTCAATGCATCGATCACAGTAACAATTGGGGATGGCAACATGGCACGGCTCTGGCACCATAATTAGCGTGATGGAAAAGCCCCAAGATACTTAGCGCCACATCTTTTTGACCATGTACGCCAAAAGAACAAGACGGTGCGCCAGGAACTGCAAAACGGCAATTGGATCCGATCGCTCAGGACGCAAATCACAACTTTTGTTCATATACAAGAATTCATCGCCCTCTGGATCAAGATTTAGGATGTGCAGCTCACACTCGATATGCAGGACTCCATAGTTTGGAGTTGGACAGCTGATGGAAAATACTCCACACGTTCGGCATATAGGATACAATTCCGTGGCTCACACTCCAAGTTCCAGGCTGATCTCATTTGGAAAGCAAAGGCAAGAAATAAATGCAAGGTACATGCTTGATACTAATGCATGACAAAATCCATACGACGGATAATTTGCAAAAAAAAAGGAGGGTGGCCACATCATGACCACTGTGTTTTGTGCAATGGACCGTTGGAGATAGGGCTGCACCTTTCTTTGCTATGCCCTTTTGCCAAAGCCGTCTGGAGCAAGGTGTTATCCTAGGGAAATTTTGATGTGCAGCTACCCCAACAAAAGCCCCAGTGTCTGGCCGACTGGTGGGAGGATGTGGCGAGCATGATACCGAAGCAAGAACACCAAACGTTTAACGGAGCGCTTATTTACATTGTGTGGAACATATGGAAGGAAATGAATAGGAGGATTTTCGAAAATGAGCACCAAACGCCAGAGCAAGTCGCCTATCTAGCCAAGGAGGACATTGTTCAAAGACGTAGGGCCATGTGTATTGTGGGGTCAAACACGTGCATGAGCGGTGGATGTTATTTCTTGGTCCTATGACCGGTGTTCTTAGGCACCGTGGGTGCCATTGTACATAAAACTCTTTTTCCTTCTTAATTGAGCGGCAAAGCTCCTGTCTTTACTTTAAAAAAATTCTTCGCTTGAATAGTGGCAATGGTCTTTGCACCTTCCCACCAGTTGCCACCCTTGAAGCCAAAGCCAACCTCTTCGTCTCATCCTCTGTTTAGCACCACCACTTCGATCATCCTACTACATTCTTCTCGACAGCCTTGATCACCCTGCTACCGTCATTCTCGACAGCCTCTAGAATAAATCCTTGTCATCTGTAATAGAATAAAAAAGACAAGAACCTTGTTTTTCCAAAAATCCCTAAAAAGAAGGAAGTATCCCTCTTTCTATAAGATTTAATGGAAATTAATAAATCTTTTAATATAATTGCTATGCTTAGTGTGTGACTCCTTAGTTTTTTATTTAGGGTCAAAGTTGAAAAAAAAATTGTCTGAACCCTACTAAAAATAGAAAAAAAAAACTTAGTAATGATAGAAAATTAACTAATAAAGTAGCTCACACACTTTGGAATTCATGTCTGCTAGGCAAACATGTGTGTCTGCCATTTAGTAGCTCCTTCTCATGCCCCAAACAAACTTGTTCCTCGCTCCACTGCATGTGTTTTTTGGCATACCCATCTTCTCAATAGGGATACAACTGCCTCTATACTGTCTATCGGCACATTATCATATCCCATCAAGTCATGCGTGTTCAATGAATCATGTTTCGCCTTGGCTACCATATGTCCTCCTCTTTTGACTTCCTCACATGCACTACCGAGAGTATTCTGTCCTCCCTAGACGTTGAGCACTAGCTGCTCAAGTTAGTTGATCCGCTGTCCTCCAGCGTTAAGCACTTGCGTCCCCCTAAAGTGGTGCCCCTCCCACAGTGGTGGAGCCAAGATCTACAATTTCGGTACTTCCAAGTTAAAAAAAGATACAAAAATGCTATAAAGTTCATTCAAACGCTAAAGATGCTACAAGCAATACTTACAAAATTGGGATGTGAGGTTCCTCGCCAACGTTGTTGGCCTACTGCACGATTCAGTTGTTGCTAGCCTACCCCCTCTGCAGCGAGAGCAGCTAGGCCATTGGGTGTTGCCTACTGGCGGCCTATTACACAACTTCAATCAACAACGCCACACTGCTAAAGCGTTGCCCATGCAATCCCTGCTCTTCACCAGGCCACCAAGAGCGGCAGCACCCACCTAGACACCAAGCGTTGGCTTGCCCTTGCCACATCGGCGTGCCATGCGCCCTTCGCCTTTGGACCTAAACATTGCTCATCATAGATGAAACTTGGATTTTACCAATTTGCCAAGTTGGAAGAATGCAAAACGGGAAGGAGTGGGAGAGGAGAGGCCGTTAAACCAAGAGGAATGTTTGCATAAGTGCTCCTCACGTGTCTAATGGATCATCGAGGTAGGAGATGTGGGCACATGTGGCCTCATGGGCTGTCAACTATATAGTTAGCAGGCCGACCTAGGACTGGGAGGGGGTGGAAGGTTGGGAGGGGGGTGCTTTGCATTGGCGTTAGCCTGAGTTGTAAGTAAATAAACAGAAATTTTGGCTCGATACGACATATACATATAACATATGTCATATGTATGTACTTTACATATACTTGATTTTTTGGTAAAAAAATAGGTATTCCCAGGAATACGTAGGCAACAATGTGGTTCTGCCCTGCCCTCCCCACGAGCATGTCCTAACTGCTTATAGATGCCACATGCTCCCTCTAGTCATGCCGCTGCAGCAGCATGCACGTCTGGTGTCAACTCTAGTAGCCAGTGAGCCCATTGAAGACGTCCATGTCTTGGTTCTTAGTGGGCCTATTTTGCATGTGCATGTGTCCCCTGGCATTGTCCAGCATCACGCTCAAGGCTACTGATGGCATCCCAAGTATAATTGTCCAATAGGCCGATTCAGCACCTGGGTCATCAAGGCCCACGGATGCTCCAAGCACTAGGGCGTCTGTCACCTGAACCCACCGTGATATGTGTAGGCTTCAAACAGGCCAACCTGTCTATACCGGCATACATGTGCATGGCCCTTTGTGTTACTCGACATGCTCATCGCCCATGCATATAGGTGTCAATGCATCATACTTCGCAAATGCAACCTCCTCCCTTTCATCCTTGGTGACAGGAGCAAAAACCAGATCTCTTCGGCAGGTATATTAGCTCAGCTTTTCCGCCACTCACGTCAATGTCTCACTGATCCCGACGAACTACTTGTCAGAGGTGGCTTACTAGAGAGAAAGAAGAGAAAGGGTACAAATTTAAGGTTTTGTTGTAAATAGGATCTAAGCCATTGAAGCTGAGGGGGCACCTGATGGCCCTACTGCCATCAAAGGTGACTACATCAAAGTGTGGTTGCTTACATAGGTACATCAAAACATATGCATTAACCAAAACATAAAAGAATGATTGCCAACACTTGGACATGAATAGGGCCAAAGTGTGAAGGGTATCAAGGAATGAAGGAAACGACACAAGGGGTAGCAAGGTAGCAGCTAATACATTAAGTAGCTCAAATTAAACAGTTCTTTTGGTCAATCTGAAGCTTGAGTTGAGTATTAGCTGGAATCTTGATATGGTGCAAACAATTTTCTAACCAGTAGCCGGTGGGTAGGCCAATGCTTGTGATGGATCGGCCACTAGGGCCTAAGACATTGAAGTTGTCATTGTGTCACTATGAACCCTGAAATTCTCCGGGGCTTCATGTCACCCCTCATGTTGTCTGAAGGAATTTTGTTTGGTTTTATCCATTCGTGAAATAAAACTTCTGGAGCAAAGCTAGCGGCTGTCGATTTGAATCCATGAGTACATGGTAAAATTAACAGAGCAGGGCTATGCTAGATAAAGACAAAGTTTTTAAGTAACAAACAGAGGAGGGGCAGAAGGATGAACAAACCGTGGTACATGCAGTGACGAAGAAGGGCACTGACCACCTGCCTAGTTGAATCATCACTCTCGACGAGCAAGACGTTGATAGTCTTCTTCTGGAGGAAGCGCTCCCAGCAGGCCTGCTGCTGGTGGTTTTCCATATCATCATGCTGGAGTCCAGGGGTTGGCCTGCTGAGCAAGCCATCTGATGGGCCACTGCTTCTCGGATTGTCATTCCCAAGCATACTGGCATCTCTGAGGGAAGGCCCGTCCACGGCCAGATGCTGACAGGGTCCTCGCATCAGCCTGACTCGAAGAGGTAGACGAAAGTGGTGGGATTGATTCGAGGCAAGTCTTTGGTTAATGAATAGACGGTGGGGCGCATGTTACTCTTGGTTTGCCTTCAAGGGCACCCCGTCTGCATCCAATAGCTCAGAATTATTTCTGCATGCAAATTAAACAAGTGTTGAGGAGACCCATATATTATACATATACAGATGATACTCGAAGAAGGTATGCTATGTGATGTACCAGTGTGATTGCTGCGAGCGAATGACAAAACCAATAACTAGGCATCAGCCAGACAAAACAAATATAATAAGAATTGTCCTCGATCGTAGCTAAAACAAGTAAAGGATCATATCTCTGGCCCTCTTTCTCTGGGAGGAGAAAGAGGGTAGCGTCATTTTGATATTCACATTAAATCGAGCCCTCTGAGAAATTAATGGAGAAAGAAGTGGATGCGGTCATGCAAGCGGAGAGGCTAGCAGGAGTAGAGGGGAAGGAAATACCTGTCTGTCTGTCAGTGTAGCTGTTGCTGCTGCTGCTAGGTGAATCAGCAGCAAATGGATGAAGGGAGGAGGTGGAGGTCGGTGATGGCTAGAGCTGGCCTGCCAAAAGGCAAAAAGTGCAAGCAAGCAAGCTTAGGAAGCCACAAATCAGGAATCCATTTTTGCAACGTATCGTAGAGTGGTGTTAGAGCAGAATGAAGCCAAGTTTCATAGCGAAGCTAACAGTACCTGTGCCGTATCAGGTTCCTTAAAAACCACTCCCGATTCCTTGCACCACCGTGTTTCACGCGTCCATTGAAGCCTTCGCGAGTTGACGCGTGTCTTCACAGTTTCGCAAAAAAAGTCTCTACATCCGTGGAAATCAACCCTGTTCAGATATTTTACTTGTAGATCCCTACTGTAAACTTTATTTCTACATAAAGAAGAGAAAATTTGAGATTGGCATCTTTTTTACAGAAAAACGCCGGCAAGCAATTTTGCGGAGGGTCCCCGCCACGACCGTAGCGTCCCTCTCCCTCCCCGCAACGCCTGAACCCAACCCTAGCTCCCCTTTCGTTCTCTTCTCTTCGCCACCGCCCCGCGATGCTCGCCTCATGTGTCGCTTGTTGCTGCCATCGCTCGACCACGGGGGGTCCGTGCAAACTTAGCGGACACAGCGGCGCAGAGGAGCGTGGGGAGGCATGCGACATCGCCTATGCGTCGATCGGGCAGAGCTCGGCGGCGTCAGCGGCGTCGCTGCCTACCGCTCGTGACGCCAGCCTCTTGATGGCGGAGGGGGGCTTCTATGCCACGACGGCATGTTCTCCAGGGCTTCTACGCCACAGCGGTGGGTTGTCCAGGCGTGGGGATCTAAGCCGAGCGACATCGGCACGTTAATCTAGCCCGAACGGCTGAGCTCCAGATACCCTACCGTCGCCCCTCCCTATCCCCAGTCGTTGCTTCTACTGACGGAGCAAGGGAGCCAAGATCCTCCTATTCGGCCTCAACTACGCCGGGAAGACCAGGTTGCTCAACATTCGCAAGGATTAGGTACATAACCAGCCCCGTCTGCCCCAGACCTGGTCGGATCCTATGCATTTAATAACTGGACCTATCTGATTCATGATTATCTCGATCATTGCAGCAGCACAGACATTGCAGGAGTTGAAGATTGCTGATTCAGCCTCTCCACTGTTGCACGGCGCTAGCGGCAGCTCCTACTAACCCTGACATACAAGGATTGGCTGAAGCAGAGCCACCTCTGACACACAGGGCGCCCTCTGCTCCTTCACAAACCGCTCCTCTACCTCGGATCAATTTTGTTAGAATGTTCAGGATTACTTGTATTTAAATGAGATGTATTAGGTTCAGACAAGAAAATGAGTTTAAGGGTCAGCAAATTTTTGATTTGTGTAACAAGAATCAAAGCGTTTCTGTCTACTCCTACAATATTGTGCTGATGCACCGCAGTGGAGGAATATGGGAGCCTTGCTACCCGTAAGGTTGGTGTATCATTATACAATCATGATCTTTGCATTTTTCTTTCTTGTTTTTCTTCACAGCTTATTTCAACAATTTAAGCTACTTGTTGATGTCTAAATGAGACCTGGGTCTGTCATGGCTTGTAAATTCTTGAGTATGAAACTGCCAGTCATTACTTATTTATATCTAGGTAGTTTGATAGTGAGATGTCTGATAATGATTTTTTTTCCTTTATTGGCAGCAACCACATCTTCTGTCATGTTTTTTTTTTTATAAAGACTCATATATATACTATCACTAGAATTCTGATATTCAATGTTTTGTTTATATAAAATGGGAGTGACGATCAACTAACTGCTTATCTTGAGAGGCCGTATTTATTTAAAGAAGATTCTCTGTAGCAAGGAATTGAAGGTCTTTGCTGCTGAATACTAACCGCCTTATATATATCTAGTTGCTTGTGATCACAATTCATTTTCCCCAATGAGTGCTACTACATGTTGTATTTTGTTGCAATAGATACATGAGGCTCAGGCTAAGGGCACGCTAGCTGATTTGACCACCCAAGCTCGACTTGGAGAAGTTTCCAGTGAAGTTACCTTTCTAACTTGACTCTGTGTCTTGCAAATTCGAGGTTAGTGACATGTACACCAAAGGTTTTTGCATTTACTATTCCACCGTAGGTTACTGTTAGGTTATTTCTACTTATTTTCTATTTACAATCATTTCTATTCCTCTATGTACATTATAACTTTATGTTAGCGATCTACTGTTAGGTTACATATTTGTGCCTTTTCTGCTGAATTTGCTTCTACAATCATTTCTATTTATCTATGTACATTATAACTTTATAGGTTAGAAATAACCTGAAAAATGAGGAAAATACAAGTTCCAAATTTAATGTTTGCTGCATCAGCATCTTGTTTGTGTTGGGGTACCTCCTTTTACTACTCATAGTAGGGACACTCATAACTGGGTTGTTGTCGTCATAATTCCTGATCAGGTACCGCAGCTGGTGTGGACATGGTGCTGTCATAACAATCTCATTTGACATTACAGTAAGCTGCACCATGACCATACCGTTTTGTTAATTGCTAATTTCTTAGGGTGCTGATCTGGATGACTTTTAATGAGATGCGGGAGTCTGCAGCGCAAAAGGTTTGAAACAATGTGCTGAACTGCCAGATCATGCCTTGAGCTCAGCCATGGAGAGATTCTTCCTTAGAGATGCAGCAAGAGTTGATTTCTTTCGGCCCTTCTGTATATACCTTTTGGTTTATTGTAATTATGATGGGTGAGACCTTTGTGAGAGCTGTGTGCCAATTGAATGGTTGGTTTTGCAGTAGTGGATCTATAAGATTTGTTATTTATGAATGATTTGTGGATGAATGGAATTGTGATAAAATTATCCATGCAATCATGAAGAGAATGACCTTTGATACTGTTTGATTAGAAGAAAATTCTCAATATTTTGGTTGGTAGGGCGGGCAAAGCGCGCAAGAGTTTCTAGTGTGTAATGTAAAAAATGGAAGGGGATGCAGCTAGTCATGGTCCGCCAATTAATTCCCAACCACACTCCCTCCCTGAGTAATAATAAGTACAAATAAATATACTTCCTTAATAATAAGTAAGAAAAATTTACATCCATGATTGGTCTGTGCCCACGACCGCAATAGAAAGAGAAATTGGCTCGGCATACGCCGCCGCCGCCAGCACACCTGTAGCAGCAAGCAGTGGCGGCTGGCTAGTTAATACTAGGAAGGAGTTTTACCTTAATTAGGGCCGGCAGCTGAGTCAGGAAGCACAGGGAGAAGGAGACATGGTGGCTGGAAGATGGGGGGAGGATCTTGCCCCTTGTTGGGAAGGGAGGGGAGGGGAGGGGAGGGGAGCAGAAAGACTCCAGGGAGGGGAACGGGAACGGGAACGAAGCGGCGGCGGCGGCGGAGAGAAGAGAGATAGTAGTAGATATAAGGGAGGGGGTCGAGGTCGGTGGCGGGTGACGTGGAGCAAAAAGAGGTTGCTGGTGGCCCGCCATGAGATCCCCATGAGTGAAATCAAATCAAAATCCACGCGCTCCCGGTCTCTCCTCCTCCTCCTCCTCTTACTAGATCCATTCCATGTGCGCATCCGGCATCTCCCAACCCACGTGTACCCTGGTGAGCTGGGCCAGGCCAGGCCACAGGCCAGCCATCCAAATGGATCCACCAAGCACATCTGCAGATGCAATCCCCCAATCCCAATCCCAATCCGATCATCATCATCAATATATTACATCTTCTGTTACTGACAGATCATTATTATTAATTAATAATGAACGGATGGAAAAATCACAGTGCACGTCCCCATTCAACAACAGGAATTGAAGGACTTGTCACTGTACACATAATATAATAATAAGCCAACCAAATTCATAATAATCATCATATGTAACAATTCCCAATGAACGATCAAAACTAAAGTGAACTAATAAAGCTCAGCTCAAACTGTTAGAATATGGTCCAATCCAGAAGACGTTATAGATAGGTAAGCATCACTTGAAAATGACAGCAGCGCTAGCTAGCTAGCTAGCTAACTGTAGATCGGACAAGCATGCATGTCCAACCTCAGGTCCGAGCGAGGTTGCCACGCACGCCACTGAATTGATTTTATATATGTAAAAAAATAAAAAAGTAGCTTATTATTCCAAGCTAGGTGTCGAGCCTAATGGGTCACAAACATACCTTTATTTGCAAACAAAAGCTCAGACATGCATGGTCTCCGCTTTAATCTATTATTATTGTGCAGGATATGATAGATGATGTTATATATCCGTATCCTTAAGGCCCTGTTCGGCTTGCTGAATCTTGGCTGAAAGTGGCTGAAAAACACTGTTCTGGTTGAATTGTTGTGAGAGAAAAACACTGTTTCGGGTGAAAAAACAAGCTTAATAGTGCAGATTTCAGGGTCAGCCGAATGAGGGCAAGCGCAATTTTGGACTATATATATATATATAT